GCTTGTATACTTACAATAGATTACCGCAAGGTGCGTCTTCCAGTGCGTCTATTTTTCAGCAGGTAATGGATAAAGTGTTGGAAGGGATTGCAAATGTGTCATGCTACCTAGATGATGTCTTGATTGCTGGAAAAAACACTGGAGGAATGCAAGAGCAAGCTTATAATGGTTTTGGAGAGGTTAGCAAAAGCTAACATTAAGGTAAATTTTGAAAAATGCAAGTTTTTTGTGACAGAACTCACATATCTGGGGCACATCATAAGTGAGAGGGGGCTGATGCCCTGTCCAGACAAAATTTCCACCATTGAAAAAGCAAAGGCGCCCGGAAATGAATCTGAATTAAAATCTTTTCTGGGTTTAATTAATTATTATCATAAATTCAATCCACATTTATCATCTAAGCTATACCATTTATACAATTTATTGAAGAGCAACGTGAAGTACATCTGGGATGACAACTGCCAAAGGGCATTTGAGGACGGTAAAGCTTCATTGTTGAAGGCAAACCTTTTAGAATTTTATGACTTTTTTTTTAAGAAACCAATAGTGGTTGTCACGGATGCGTCAAGCTATGGTCTAGGGGGGTTAATAGCTCACGTGGTGGATGAAATTGAGAAACCAATAAGTTTTACATCTTTTTCACTAAATCAGGCACAAAAAAAATACCCTATTTTGCATTTGGAGGCGTTAGCGCTAGTATGTACCATCAAAAAGTTTCATAAGTATCTTTATGGGCAACCTTTTACGGTTTACACAGATCATAAGCCATTGGTTGGAATTTTTGGCAAGGCGGGTAAAAACTCGATTTATGTTACCAGACTCCAGAGGTTTATTTTGGACTTAGCAATATATGATTTCAACATCATTTATAGACCTTCAAATAAGCTGGGAAATGCAGACTTTTGTTCAAGATTCCCCTTACAGCAGGATGTTCCTAAAGATTTGGATGCAGCTGCGATTTTTTTTTTTTGTTTATTAATTTATTTGATAAGGCTCAACCGAATTAACTTTACAGAGCCGAGGATTCTTGGTCACTATACAATACATCTTAAAACTATAGTCAAAAGGTACAACACAATAAACACTTTATCTTCCGCTATCCAAAAAGCTTCTTCCATCAGAACTGGAGCCGCATCCAGTAGTTTCATTGTATGGCAAATTGTTGTACGCCAACGAGGGTCAGAGCGCGTCCATTGCAGCAATGGACGCAAAACGTGGTCAGCACTCACACACTCATCACGAAACGGTTGCTTTCCAAAGTCGACGACGCATCGACCGAAAGAACTGCTGATGAAGAACAATGAGGAGGACCACACAATGGTTGCTGCCGAGAAAACAGACGATCGCGTAGCACACATCGAGAGTGGCCTGCTTTTGTCGACAGCCGAGTGAACACTGATGCAGCTGCGATTAAAAGCATAAATTTTGGGAAGGATATACCCATGGATTCGAAAATGATAGCAGAAAGTACTAAGGATGACGAATTTTTGCAGAAAATTAAATGGTTTATGCTCAATGGTTGGCCTGATAGAGTGGACAGGCGTTTTGCGGATGTTTACGCAAATCAGCAGGACCTGGAATTAGTGGATGGATGCCTACTTTATGCAGATAGGGTGATTATACCGAAAGTGCATCAAAGGCAAATACTGGTACTTTTGCATAACAACCATGCTGGTATAGTGAAAATGAAACAGTTGGCGAGACGCATGGTCTATTGGTTCGGCATCAATAGCGACATTGAAAGATATGTGACAGGCTGTGATGCCTGCAATGGCATGACTGCTTACAAGGAAACGGAGGATAAGTCTAAATGGACACCGACAACAAGGCCTTTCAGTAGAATCCATGTAAATTTCTTCTTTTTTGAGCATCGTACTTATCTGTTGATAGTTGACAGTTTTTCTAACTGGATTGAAGTGGAGTGGATGAAGCAAGGAACAGATTGTAATAGGGTATTAAAAAAACTAGTGGCGTTTTTTGCGCGTTTCGATTTACCTGATGTTTTAGTGTCGGACAACGGTTCTCCTTTCAATTCGCATGGTTTTATAAGTTTTCTTGAGAGGCAAGGTGTCAGGGTAATGAAAAGTCTTCCTTACCATCCTTCGAGCAATGGACAAGCTGAGAGATTAGTGAGAACAGTAAAGGAAGTACTTAAGACATTCCTATTGGAACCAAATATTGCACTATTAGATATGGAGGATCAGATAAACCTTTTTTTGTTTAACTTCAGAAATTACAACCTGACTAGCGACGGGCATTTTCCGTCTGAAAGAATATTTTCATATACGCCAAAGACTCTTTTGGACTTGGTAAACCCAAAAAAACATTACAAGAAGCAACTAGCTTTACCACAGCCTGCGGATGAAATCATCCAACAAGAGTTGGTCGGGACAATCTCGAGGCATTCACAGGATGCTATTGATAAACTGAAGGCTGGAGATGAAGTGTGGTATAAGAACCACAATCCTTCCCTTCATTCAAGATGGTTAAAAGCAATCTTTATTAAAAAGTACTCTCACAATGTATTCCAGGTACCAATTGGAAGCGTAGGCGCGATGGCGCATCGTTCACAAATTAGGCCTTACCGAGAGGTCGTCTGGGAGTACCCGAATATTATTGTCACAGTGAAAACGCCTAGGACAGTTACGAACTGCGAGCCGGACAGTACCACGAGGGTGGATGTTAGTGACAGTGGAGCAGACGACATCGGTAGTGAGGAGTTGAAGGCCCCGAGTGGGGGAAGAAAAAGGAAACATCAGGAAGTGACAGTGACAGAGGAACCCAGAAGGTCGAAGAGAAATAAGAAGGAGAAGAAACTTGAAGACTTCTGTAATGATTATTAATATGAGTATTTTGAATTGATTGTGGTTGACGAAGGTCAAATTTTGAATTGATAGCCTGTTTAAAGGGGAAGAATTGTGGCATACCGGCGCATTTAGCACAGCGTCAAGCTGTCAAGTGACGGTGCGATGTTTTGTTAACACCCAACTGGCAGCACTGCTGGCAGCATAAAAAGATAAACAAAATATACGGAAGAGTTCAGTTGACTCGTGAGCTTAAAGCAAACTAGTCTATTTTCATTATACGGTCCGGTAGTTTCTCCTCTATTCCCAGTGAAGTTAATACTGGCCTACGAACATAAAAGTTACCAGTACCGGATTGTCCGAAAACGAAGTTATTCGATCGAAACGGCTGTCCAAATGGTCCCACTCGGACCTGATTTTTTCATGTACCTACTTCTTCGGACAGGCAATAGGATGTGCGCTGACTGTACTTTGTGGAATTCAATTCGATTTTGGAGAATCACTGGTGGGACTTGATGGAGATTCACGCGAGGATTCACGGTTGTGGATTGTAAAAAATTGGATTGTATTGTGGCAACATCAATAACAAATTCTGACACATGCACACTGCGCAGGTGCAGACAAAGTTCAGTGTTGCCAGTAGCTTTAAAGATCATAAAAATTGTACTCAGGAGTGAAAAAAACAGCGCCAACGACTGCGCCCGGGTGTACCCAAGTTTGATTTTGGAACACTGGGTAGAGTGACCAACCCCTTGTTTGTGGTAGAGCTAACCAGTGAAAACTAACGATTTTAAATTGACTCATTACTTGACTAAGCTATTGGTCCGAAGCAAATCGATTAGCGTATCCCATTCTAGTCGAAATTCACGTACTACTCTATGTTTATTTTGTTTCGCTATGATAAAACGAGGGGTTCGAGGATTTTCCTATGTTTCAAGGGGTGCATCGATTAGCTTGGGACCGAAGAGAGTACCAGAGCTAAGCCAAAAATTTGAGTACGTTTCTTCAGGACCTTCTGGTCTTAGAGTATACCTCTATGGTATAACAATATCGACTAGAATGGGGTACGTCAAGTAGTGAGCCAATTTAAAATCGTTAGTTTCCACTATAGTCGCTATATTTATAATCTGGCGGATAGAATTTCAATCTATCAAAAAGCGGAACCAATTCAATATACTGTTGACCAACAATTGAAAAGGCACTATCAACTTTTATAAATAAAACATGGATTATTCTTTCCTCGCCAGTCGGACGCAAATTACCAGCATCATCGGATAGGGGAAACTTTCCCCAACCCAAAGAAGGTGTTAGTTTGCGAAAAGGGTTTCTGAAGTTTTGTTCGCAATAACTGATGTGCTCTGTTCTGTTGTTTGTGGTGAATCGCTCGATTGGTTCCGCTATTTGACAGCTTAATTGGTTCCCGACATTTTATCCGCCAGACTATGAATATAGTCAGCTATAGTTTCCACCGGTTAGATTGCACTCATATACCCTCGCATATACCTCACCGTGCAAAATTTTGAATTCATCATCACATTCATTTCTGCTATTCTCCACTGGGGCCAATTTTGATTTGCCAATAGCCTGTTTCGATGCATCACCAATATAGAGTGTGCTAGGCGATTTTGAAAGGAAATTTCATCCAAACCGTTTCTTAACATCGTAATGACGATTTTTAAATCTTAAAATAATACATATTTTATTGCACAATGCACAAATTTCCTTCGGGAGCGGTCTTATTTAACGATTTTCTACAGATCTGAACTGATTTACTTTTAAATATCCACGCATCAAAAATCCGGAAATCATAATCGCTGGAACAGTTTTATAAATCTTTATTTTTCACAACCAAAATTTATGGAAGCACTGTAAAATCGGTACAGAAAACAAAATATTCCACGTGGATGACGATGTCAAGCCTTCTGCGATGGATAAATTAACACACTACAAGGCGAACATTTCAGGCCTCATCACTCTTTTGAGGGTTTTTCTACTCACCACCAGAGGCTGAAACGATCGGTTAGCTTCTATTGGATTCGCCTATTGTTATCCTCATTTTCGGACCATCAATAGTCGCGCATATGGACTTTTTGTCGGTGCAAACATTTCGGATACTTCCAAAGCAAAAACCTACTGCTCCAAACAGCATTGTTGTATGATGGCTAAAATTTATTTTCTTCATCATTGATTTGCATTTTCTTTTCCATTTTCGTTCATTTGCACCATATCGTTTCTGTATCAACCCATCGCTTCTAGTGGAGATTTATATTTACCTATATTTACCAACTTTCCTATATAAATCTCCCATTCAAAAACCTTCTTTTTGTCTCTTTCGCTTTTTCTACACAGTAACGCTATACAATCAGTACGGTACCTGTATGTGAGTGTGCCTATTTAGTATTTGTTGTTCTAACAATGACGGATTTTGCATTTATCGTAATTATTTAACACATATCTAGTAAGGATTGGGGATGTCTAGAGTTATTTGAGTTATTGAATTGGATAATTATCATAGACTATTATTACAGGTAAGGTGTAACGGATTCAGTTTGACAACAGTTATTAGATAGATATTTATGCTTCAAATTTAAACCATCAAAAATAGCTTCCAAAATATGCAATTATTGAAGAAGTATAGGTTTGAAACGGGAGAACACAACGCGGTGACATTAAACTGTCACTTCGTTTTTTTAGTTTCCATGAAGCATTTTTTTTTTAACAATATCCTTTAAGGTGACTAACAATGGTTTACTATTTACAATGATTGGTTTTTCTTCCGTAGATTTAGAGAAAACTAATCTCTACCAATGATAATGGGAAAATGTTTCGAGGCACTGAGATGCAGTGTTGGAAATACTTTTTTCTGTAAGTAACTCAGTTGGTTTCAGTTGTCAATTTTGTGGGAAAGTGTCTGGTTCATTTAGGGGAAGTTCCGTTGTAGTTGTAGAATCCATTCATGCTAACGCTGCCGGCGGGAAGATTCAAAAGTGATACATTCTGTTAACTTGCGTGTAATTGTTTTCCATTTTCTGTTCATTGTATTGTTTAAACTAAAGGGCGGACGTTTGATTCGACCATAAGTATTTGTCTTCAAGCTTGGCTTTTGTATGAATTTATCCCTAGTGTATGTTTGGCAACTTACATGTATGAAGCTTACTTGTTAGTACGAGATAGATTTAAAACTGAGGTATGTGCATCGAGATGTCCTGAATCTTGAGCTTATCGATTTTCCGGTGCAAATAATTTAAGAGCTTGTAAAACCAGCAAAACTTTGCAAACCAGGCCTTGATGAGTATGAAGTGGCATGACTTGATGATCGGCGATAAATATACTGCTGCTGGTATGCGGAAAGAGAGCTTTGCTTGTATTTGAAACAAAATAGTGTACATAGCAGTAAAACTGTTTTTTTTTTTTTTTTAATATTCTGAATGAATAGCACACAACACGTGACAGACGGGCCGACCCGATGAAACTTACGGCGTGAGCTCGTCGGTTTCTTTGATGACGGAGTTCGCTTCCATTGTTTCCCGTCGCAGGATCATCTCGTGAATGTGCTGCAAGTACAAACAAAAGCAACACGGTTTTTATTTCTCTTGCATTGCTTATGCGATCATCTGTGAAATTACATCTTGATTCTGGACCACCACTATCCGGTGCTGGATGGACGGTGCTAGCTGGCAACTGCTTTGCTCCAAATCGTCTAGTGATGCTCTTCTCATCAACTGTACAAATAAAAAAAAAAAAGAAATAAAATAATGCAATCTTTCACAAGTACGATTTCCGTTCAGTGTCGGATGAAAGTTGAAAAATGAGCATCCGCTTGCTTCATTGCAACTTGCTATAAATATTTTTTTTCGATCAGCACTTACCTTTCCTCGCTTCACATGTTCCATGCTGGCATGTCGCATCGGCTGAATGACGGTCGATTTTCGCCGGATCGGCGTAGGGCCGTCCAGTTCCAGGTTCTCTAACATCTGTACCATGCTGTGCCTTCGCGACAGCGTCACTAACGATTGCCGGTGCTTGGTGTGGTGAGCTTTACCCATTCGCACATCGATCGCCTTGAAGTGGTTCTGAATTGCCAATCCTAGTTCCGGGGCAGCATCGTCGTCCATCAATACCTTGGACCCCTTGAACATGATATAGCCATCGCAACCACCGAAGATGTAACTCTTTACGCACAGTGTGTACGTTTGTTCGAACTTGAGCCATTCGTCGCCAATCCTCACCAGCCTGGATTCTACCCGTCGCCCCGGCGGTTGCGTCGGATCAAATGCAAACGACATACCGGCAATCTGAGGGAAGCGACCCTCCAGCTTCGGGTAGGTGGACACGGAATTTTCCAATGCTTCATGGAGCACTTTACCGGAAACTTCCACCACTATCAGCGGATCCTGCATCGGGATGATGTTCACCAGATCACGCATCGTGAACGGGCCAGCCGCGTGAATCTGATCGGATCGGAATGTTCCTGAGTTGATCATGACCGCATCCGCACCGGTTGCGGCCAGCGCTACATCACAGATCCAGTTACCCAAGTTCGTCTCCGATGTACGGATTGACGCAAATCGGCCATCCAAATCCACCGTAAATACACCCAACATTTCGTCCATCTTGGACTCGATCGTCTCCGAGTACTTCTTCAGTTCCTCCTTCAGTACCGGATCTTCGATGTATTTTGTCGAGTTCACGTCAACCTTCTCCACCGTGATGCTAATCTTTCCGTTCTCGCTCCGTTCGGTATTGACTCCGATCCTCGAGAACTGCCGAAAGTCTGTTCCCGACTTGATCACATGCGTATCCTCAATGTTCAGAATCTCAAACACGTGGTCGTGACCTCCCAGGATCAGATCGATGTGCCCACTGTGCTTCGCCAGCTCGATGTCATTGGGCGTTCTCATATGCGTCAACGCAATGATGATATCACATCCTTGATTGTGAAGCTCGTCGGCCAGCTGGTTGCCAGCCTTGATGAAATCTATGTACGTGACCTCATTTGGATCGATCGTTGGCAGTGTGTCGAGCCACTCCTTCTCCACCAGCCCGATTAGACCGATTTTGACGTCGTTGTGATGCAGGATGTGGGTGATCTTTCCACCGCCCAACGGACGGCCCGTTTCGTTGTCGACCACGTTGGACATTAACCAGGGGAAGGTGGTCTTTTCGACCCACTCGGCGAGCACATCCAGACCGTGATCTGCAATTGTTGGACAAAGGTATATGTGCTGCGTTAGATTGAGACTTGAGACAACTTGAGAATCTTTGAGGATCCTTATGAGCATAATTGTTCTACCACTTACCAAAGTCGTGATTCCCAAACACGGCACAGTGCGTTCCGACGGTATTGAGTACCGGGACCATCTGTTCTCCTCGCGTAAATGTACTCACTGCAATGAATAGGGACGATAAATTTCGGTTCTACAAACCAACATTAATCCTAGCAGTCAATACTCACACATACTGGGCGAAAACGCATCTCCACTAAACAGCACCAGCGGATTCATGTGCGCAAAGGTTTTAACTGCCGTGCAGAACCGGGCGGCTCCACCGATCGGTTCCTGCTTGCAGGTGGCATCAATGTTGTAAACATCGTTGTAATGCAGGATGGTCAGCTTGCTGTTGCTGTCTTCGTGGATCGTGGCGTTTGTACTCATACTGTTCGTGGCTGCCTCTGGTTCATTCACGTGTATGCCCTGCTTGATCAGTGTGCCCGGATTCAGGTGCCGCAGATGGGGTGTGGTGGTGGTCTGAAGCTGTGTAACGGCTCGCTTACCGGCTTCCCGCACTTCCACCGATGCCTGCCGACGAAGAGAGTTGAGATTGTTTGCATTAGATGAGCGATAGGTACCTATATAGCTTAGCTTTGTGTCACACTACTAAACGGATTACTTCCGGTGGATTAAACGACCATGACGACGACGACTACTACCCCTATAGCTAGTGCGACCACAAAGGATTGACTCGCGGATTGGCATACCTAACCATATGCATGTACAGAGGAGATTAGGTGCATAGAATGTCATATCTTGAGCGGTGGTTAGGTGCTATGGTCTACAGGTGCGGGGACGGTGGTTGCATGATGGGTGCGAAACGATTTAAATAAGGGGAGGGGAAGCATTCGCCAATAATAGAAAGCATTAGTTCATTTTACTTGGGAAATATTTATAAGGACTTGGAAAAATCACCATGTAGGATTATTTACGTTTATTCTGTTATTGAACAAGACATTTTCCGGGAGCAATGTACTGAATAGTGATTTCTTATGAAGGATTCCATATCAAATCAAACGACTCAAACCAACTAGGTTATAGCACAGACAAACAGACGTAACTCTTTGAAAAAGTTTTTCTTGAAAACATAGTATCTCAAAACATAGGACCTCAGTAGCGACATCTTTCAGGCTTCTCGCGGAAAACAAGCTTGCTCCCTAACTCGCAAACAATATTGCATGAAAGTTCTATAGAACGTCAAAGTGATCCGATGCCAGCGCTGCGGCGAGTAGTTCGCGAAACTGATAATATTCAAATCAACCGTTAAATGCGTGAACGAAGATACACAAAGAAGAGTTACGTCTGTTTGTCTGTGGTTATAGGGTAGGTGTACCAGCTATGTTTCTATCACAATGGTTTCTTTTTCTCGCATGATATCTTCTTCTTCTTCTTCTTCTTCTTCTAGGAATTTTTAGTTTCTGTAGCGAGCATTTTTTCGGCTCTCATCTTAGTGTTCTTCCACAGTTATTAACTTCAGAGCTTTCGATGCTTGTACCATTTTTGCATTAATATAATTGTGTGGCAAGTACAATCATGCTATGCAAAATTAGACGAGTCATACGTTGTATTCGGGGTACTCGTATACAACGTATGTACGTTATAAGCCAGGTAACACAGTAGTTTTTGGCATATAAATAATATCCTAACTCTGCTGATTAATTGTTTGTTTTTGAATTGCTGAACTGGTTAATGGCACCAAGAAATGTGCAAGATATTGCGATACACTCAATAATTATTTTGCACATACAGCTATCCCACGAAGAAGGCGTTACCCACTGAGTTGCACCCACCGCTTTTTCTCGGCGGGGTTTCAACCAGTTGGTCTGATTTTTTGCATGTGAGTAGTGCCAATGGAGAACTAGTCACTCGCAGAAAATCAGAGCGCTTGGTTGAAAACCCACTGAGACAAAGTGGTGGGTAGAACTCAGTGGGTAACGCGTTCTTCGGGGGAAAGCTGTACATCGCTGTAGAAAATTCCCTAGTTGACCGATCCTTTCCATACTTTCAGACAATAAAATATAACCCTCTAGCATATTGGCATATTTATTTCATTCAACTTCAATACCATAACCGAGGGGGACGACTCTATCTACGATGCAGGAAATATTGTGTTTTGCTGTGGCTAGCTGCGCGTACGCTGAGTAGATAGACAGAAGATTTATCACGATTTTGAAGATTTCCTGCAAAAAGATGATGCGCGATGCAAGTAGATGTGAGAAATGATAGAAAATTTTTCGAAGATTTATTCGCTAGTGTGAGATTTTTTGAGCATCTAGAATTGAGATTTAGATGTGTCACCCCCCTCGAACGATACGCTCGCACCTTACGCTTAACTCTACTCATTAGTTTCTGTACAACATCTGGCTGCAGCTTCTTCTGTACGGAAACCCAATTTTTCTTCATGTCTTCCCCAGATTTGACCTCCTTGGGATGCTTCCGTAGTGCCTGCTTCATAATAGCCCAGCATTTTTCGATGGGCCTTAGTTCCGGTGTGTTGGGAGGGGGGTGGAGGGAGTTCCTGTCCTTGGGTACGAAAGTGACCCCGTTGGCATCGGATTACTCCAGGACAACATTTGAATGGTGGCACGAAGCTAGATCCGGCCAGAAGATCGCAGGGCCCTCGTGTTGCTTCAACAGAGGAAGCAGACGCTTCTGTAGACACTCCTTGAGATAGATCTCCCCGTTTACAGTCCCGGTAGTCACGAACGGCGCACTCCGTTTGCCACATGAGCAGACATGAGCAATCATGTATTTCTTGGCAAACATTGAAAGTTCTGCTTTCTTTACATCCTCCGGAACATCAAACTTGTGCTGGGCGGTGAATAACAGTAGCCCCGGAAGCTGCCGGAAGTCTGCCTTGACGTAAGTCTCATAATCTATGATGAGACAATGAGGTTTCGTCAGCATCTGGGTGTACAGTTTCCGGGCCCGTGATTTTCCCATCGTATTTTGCCGTTCGTCACGATTTGGAGCCTTCTGCACTTTGTACGTATGCAGTCCCTCCCGGTCCTTGGCTCTCTGAACGAAAAACTTGGATAGATTCAACTTTTTGAGCACATCCCTGACCGAAGCATTGGGATTCCGCTTAAACGCTTTCACGACACGCTTGTGATCCTGATCACTAATAGAACATTTATTCTAACCGCATTTTTCCTTCCGTTCGATGCTCAGAGTTTCATAGTAACGTTTAATCACACGACTCACCGTTGACTGCACGATTCCGGGTTGTTTTCCGATATCTCGATGAGAGAGTTGAGGATTTTCCAGGTGCTTGCGCAAAATCAATTAACTACTTTATTCCAGCACTTAAAATGACGTTTACTACCACTCGAACTTTGAAATAAAACATTATTTTAAGATTTTTTCTTCTAGAACCTCGAGAAAAGTAGCCAACAATTGTGCGTTTAATAAAAAAAAATAGAAATTATTTGTTCCAGTTTTGTGAAATCGCTGGTAGAAAGTCACGCCAAAACTGCTTGACAAAGTGGTCAATTCGCAACGTTACTTTTCGGATGACACCATTTTTCCAACTTTCGTAAAACTGACAGCGATAAAAATACAGTGTTAGCAATACACTCTAAACTACGTCTACCCAAATTTACAAGAGAAAATACTCAATAGGTAATTTTCTACAGCGTTTTTTTTCGTTATGCAATTAAATATTGCATTTCATATGTCAAACCAGTTGTCAAATGTATTTAAAGGGCATAGAATTTTCGGTCATATATAAAAAACCGTAAGAGATACCACTCTGAAATTTCCACCAGTGAAAATAAGAAGTTTTCAAGCATGACAAAATCATTAGATAATGTTTCATTACCCTGTGAATGTTTTTTTTCCTTCTGATTTTCTTTGCAATTTTCCCCCACGGTGAAAATTTTCATAGAAAACAAATTTCAGATTATGTTTTTCATGGATTGCTAAGATAATTTACTTATATTTTCACTATACTACGTTCTTTCTACGATGCTTGGTTATTAGTTATGATTTTTTCAAAGTACGTCATGTCCAGGAAAATCCGAAAATTGCAAGTAAAGTTTCCCGGGATTTTTTTTTAATAATTTATTTATTTGATGAGGCTCATTTAAATTATTTATTTTATTTATTTTATTAAATCTTCAACATAATGTTGTACAGATATTTTCTAGGTTAGGTGTCGAATTCTATGTCTGTAAGTAGACTTACTAATGTTAAAATCATATACATCAAACGTTTCATTAAACACACGACAGCACAAAGTCCACGGTTCGTTGAATCCATAGTTGGTCCGATGGGTAGGTTGCCAACTACGTAGAACTCTTTGAGGAGCATTGATGTAGATTTGGCTCACAAGAGAGTTGCAATCCACGTCACCGTTAAGCAATCCAAACACGAAGAGTCGCTGAAGTAGTTTCCTCCTTGCTGCCAACGTGTCCAGGTCAATCAGCCTGCACCGTTCTTCGTAAGGCGGCAAATTTACCGAATCGTTCCAGGGCAGAACACGAAAAAGCGTATCTTACGAAGTTTCGCTGAATGGCTTCGATTCTGTTAGCTTGAATAGCGTGAAAGGGTGCCCACACAACAACAGCATACTCTAGAAGACTGCGGACGAGAGCACAGTATAGTGATTTCAGCGCGTAGATGTCGTGGAATGCGTTTTTGTTTCGTTTCAAGAAACCTAATGTGGCGAATGCTTTAGCAGTTATCATGGAGATGTGCTCATTGAATCTGACTTTAGAGTCGATGATAACACCCAAATCCTTAACTGAAGAAGCGAAGAGCAAACTACTGAGTCCTATCCTATAGTCATGTCGTAAGCGCTCGCGTGAACGGCTAAAAGATATTGCGTAGCACCTGCACCTGCATACCGTTCAATGTACACCAGCGCAAAAGGGAATCAATATCCTTCTGAAGTGCGCAACAGTCAAGTCTTGACTTAATTGTATGAAAGATCTTTAAGTCATCGACGAACATAAGTTTCGAAGAGCACAGTCGACTACACAGATCGTTTACGTTCATTAACATCGTAAAACTATTGTCAAAAAGAACAACACAATAAACACTTTATCTTCCGCTATCCAATAAGCCTCCTCCATTTGAACGGGATCCGCTTCCAGTGGTTTCATTGTATGGCAGTATCGCCAACGGGGTGCAGAGCACTTCCATTGCAGCAATGAACGCAAAACGTGGTCATCACTCACACACTCATAACGAAATGGTTATGATCAACCGAAAGAACTGCTGATGAAGAACAATGAGGAGGACCACACAATGGTTGATGCCGAGTAAACAGACGTTAGCGTGACATACATCGAAAGTGGCCTGCTTCTGTCTGCAGCCGAGTGAACAGCAATCCGGGAAAATTAGCTACCCGAATTTATTTTCGTTCATATAACCATAAACTACTTGTGGCAAAATTTCTTAAAATTCTGAGACCCTACGGCCCATTTTGTCTAATAATAAAAAAATCCCCTACCGTCTTGGCTACAACGATTAAGAAACCACATGTTGTTCCCCATCTGACCATATTTAATCAAAATTTCAGTATT